CACTGTGGCGGACGATTAAGTTCTTTCTAAATTGAGAAGAGACCAGAAGCGACCACTTCTGTGTCATTTTCCCCCCACAATGGTGAAGAAAATAATACATTACAATAGATATGAAACAATTACTGCTGTTAGTGCAATGACAATACTTCATTTTGATTAAAATCACCTGTGATGGAGCATCATTGGTTTGAGTGGTACTTCCCTTTGTGTCCTCCTGCTGATGTTCAGTGAAGTCAGATGTGGCCTTACAAAAAATGAATAAACTGAATGAATATAAATGTACATATTGAATGCAAACCATTTTAAAATACAGAATGAAATCATATTACATGAGAAAACTATATGCTTCTTCCTGTTTTTACATAAACTTTTATATATACATATACCTGTGTTTGGATGATATTTTCTATATTTTCCTCATCAGCTATTTGTGGCTGCTGCTGTGAAAAGTTCTCTCTCCTTTTCTGTTTAAAATAAGTTACAGTTTCAATTTGTTACATTTGCTTTAGAATAAAAAATTTTAAACACTACAATAGGGTGTAGGAATAGTCAAAATCACAAAACATGAGTGTACTTCAGTGTCACTTCAAACCTCTTCTAATAATTACTTTCAATGACAGGTCCAGCACTAAAGGTGACACGTACAGTCCTGTACGCTTCTGCTTTGTTCTCCATACTTCCTCTTTCACTCGAAAGGACTTGAAAACATATGCATAGTTAAATACTTTTACACACAATTGAAAAATCTGTACTCAGGCCTATTGTTTTTTAAATGTGATCAGGCAAAAGCAGCAATCTTATTTGTTACTTAGGTGCTGGCCACTGAAGTGATTTTATTAACAACAAGTATCCCATACTTTCTTCCTGCATCTTTCCATGTCTCCATATTCAAGGAGCAGTGCATCATGCATCTTTTGGTATACTCAAACAAAGTCATCCAGTCTTGTAAAGTGCCTTCTTTGGAGCCGAATTTGCTTTAGGTCCCATTGACTCTTCTCCATGATGCCCTGTGTTCGGTTATCTTCAGTGAAGTTCTGAAAATGTAAGTACATCTGTTATCTGTTGACATTCTAAGGGACAACATAAAATATGATTTAAATAGAAAAAAAAAATTGATGGTTCTTGCAAAACTGTACCTGTTTCTTTGATTGTTTGACTTTGTTATAGAGCTTACTCAAATTCTGGTATGCTGAGCTTGTCCCATGACGTCCTAGATCCCCTAATGACAATTAGAAGATTGTAAAAGTACTGGACACAAATACTGTATTGATGCATTGCTTAATAAATAGTTGTCTTAAATCAATTTAACTACCTAACATCATTCCAGACCACAGAATGGCATGCGGGAGGAAGTATTTGGCCAAACGGGAAATTAATGTTGGTGTGTAATAAATGTTGGAATCACCATCAAGGTCAAGTGGTGCACTGTTGATTGTTGTTCTGAAATGATCCATGATTGATGTGGTCCCGACATCATGCTGAAAAGCACATTTAATTATTTCAGACATATTTCAAATGTATATGCATAATGAATTATTACAGTTTTTTTACACTCATTTTTGCACTAATAAAAGAACCTTCATGTCATTTTTCAAAACTCTAGACACAAAACAGTCATTATTTGTAACACAGGCTGTCCAATGTTCAAAACTTTGCATGTTGCGTTCATATCTTTAAAGAAGCCTTGCATTTGCAGAAGTATTGGTTCAAATAACTCATTTATTATGAAATATCATATGAACATTACTTTAGATCACCCACACACAAGACACCCATAGTTTCACTGTTTAGTTGTTAGTACAATCATTAAATATATTTGTTCAAAACACATGATGTAGCTTTCATTATGGTTCTACACATTCATACATCATTGTGATAGACTAGAGAGAAAAGTACAGACACTGGAATCATTAAACAAAATATGAAAATTATTGATGAAATAAACAACTCACTGCAGGTTTTTCAAAAAACTTGAAATAAGAAAAAAATTAGATGAGAAAAACAGATAAGAAAAAACTACAGTAGGCCTACAGTAAAATGTCACTCACTGCACTTCTATGTTTTTATCAACCCTGTCTTGTGAATTTGGCCACAGGTTTTTGGGCACATCATAATGGATGTTTTCATTAGCTAAAATCTTGGAAAGAAATCTTCTGGCATGGCAAAAATAGGCCTGACATTGGTCTCCTGTGATGTCATTGCACGCATCATCCATGGCCTGGAGAAGAGTGACTTGTTTGTGAGGGTGCCTATAATTGTGAACCTTCCACCTCCATGTGGAGACAAATTCTTCAGTCGGGTTACAGTAAGGAAAGGGGAGTATGGGGGTAAATACAAGGTGATAAACTGTGAATGGGCATGAAACCATGATTGCTCTCAGTGCTGTTGTTAGGAGTTCTGGGCCCATTGCACTGATTTTGCTGTGGGGCCTCCTCAAAATCACATTCAGTGGGGGGTGGTCGGGCCCCCCGGCGAACATCGTTCTGGGCCCCTCTCAACCGCTGGACTCTCAGCCTCTCCTCCATGTCATGGCCAGGTTAAAGCCTGTTTCATCCAAAAATATGAATGGCTTTCATTAGCTTCCAGCTCTATCACCCTCTAAAAAGACATTTACAGTATTGTAGGAAAAACAAATACTGATAACAATGATATAGAATTTTTGGGGTTTGTTTTTTTCTCCCAACAACAGGCATCTTGAAACTGATCATACCTGAACATACTCAGTTGCTTCACTTTCATAATCTAAACATTTAATAATGTTCATAATTTTCCATAAAATCTATGATTCAAGAGTAATGCAACAGTTAAACAGCATTTTGAGCAGTTATCCATTGATAGTTAGATCATTGTAATGAAATGAATAGACACTCAACTCAGATGTAATGCGTGAGTTGCATTTTGAAATAGTAATGCTTTGATGTTAAGTTGTGTCATTTTGAACCAGTTATTTTAGTTCAATGAACAAAAGATCTTTCGTTCATGTGTATTGTATTCAAGCATTTGGAAAAAGTGTTAAGCCTTTTGAAAAATTTACGTTTTGATCATCGGTTGTGAATTATGTGTCTAGAGTTTTGAAAAATGACATGAAGCTTCTGTTATAAGTGCAAAAATGATTGTAAAAAACTGTAATCATTTATTCTGCTTAACAGCAATCTCAGCTATGACTGCCTGACCTTATTTGAGATGCAGGATACATCCTGGACAAGTGCTGATTGAATCAGGAAACTCATAAACAGAATTAAAATTTTAACCCATAGATGTCTACTCTGCAGGGGGTTCAACAATGGCAAGCAGGTCTGGTTGGTTTTTATTCTACACTATACTGTATTAGTATCTGTGAGGCCATGTGCTGAACATTTTTTTTTAAATTGTAACATTATTTCATACCTTGTAGTCTTCAGCAATGATGTTTTTGTCATCTAGTTCAAAGGTACCCCTTTGCTGCATAAGCAATTGCAGGTTATTGTAGTGCTTTGCTACATTTGCTCCATTGCAAGGACTGCAAAACAGTACTGTTGAACTAGAAAGCACCTCATCCATCTCTTTCAGTGTTGAACAGCATGCAAGGAGGCCAAAGATGTGCATTGTCAGTGTGTAGTGTTTGGGAATTCTACAAAGAAAGAAAGAAAATTAAAAAAACAATTATTATTATTATTGTACATTTCATTTCAAACTGTATGTACAGTGATCATACCCCATAAATACATACTGTTTTTTGCAAAGATCCTTGGCATTCCTCATGATGTGACTTAAACATCTATGAAGAATGGGGAGGTCAAATGTTTCTGTTGGATGCTGTCCAGTAATTAAAAGGAAGTACTTATGCAGCAGATCCTCCAGACCTGTTCTGCAGAATGTAATAGAAATGGAGTGCATAAGCACAAGGGAGCCATCACATATTATCATGACTGGCCTTTTGATTGCCACATTTCCATACATCCTGATGACATCAGTCTGAAAAGCCTGCAAGAAGTATGTCACAGATGCTGTGGTGTGGTCGCATGTGACATGGGTTGCCACAGGTAAAGGTGATGCACCCTTGGATGGATTTCTAACAACCAGCTCATAAACATAGTATGGTGGACTTTCTGAAATGTTTTTTTTAATTACACTCCCTGTCCAAGTACACTATGTCGTTCTTACATCTTTTGTAGAAGACAGAAAGTGTCTTATTTGACCACAACATAACTCCTTTGGGGTGCATCATTAACTTCTGCAGGACATCATTGTCTGTGCCATGCTGTTGGTCAATCAGTTCTTTTAAACTTGGAAGCTCATCAGAATGAAATGTTTTTAGCACGTTTTTAGTTGGGGCATCATCCCTGCACCCTGAATCGATGACTATTGGTGTAATCTTTTGCATGGACTCCAAACACAAACTCCGCGTGCTGCACGCACTGGCCTTCTTTGCAGTTCTTTGCGGTTATGGCATGCATCACCTCCAGGGAAAACCACTGCTGCTTTTAGGGAGCTCTCATCAGCAACTTCAACATGTACTTCCACTGGGCAGTCTTCAAAACAACAGTACCCCTTACATGTAAAAATTGGACCCAGTGTCTGTGACCCCAGGGTTTTCACTCTGTGTTGCTTAAAAGCAAAGCTGCAGTATGGATGAATGGATTTGATGCCCTTGGCAATTACATTTGTCCATGGGAGTCCTTGAAAAAGTCTGCCTTCCTGGTGTTGTCTTAGCTCTTGCCAGTCTTTGCGTTCAATGAAAAAGAAACATGGCTGACGTGGCAAAGAAAATGTGAAGAATTTAATTTCTTCCTCACTGCTTTGTGTAGAGATACATGGTGATTTATTTTGCTCTATATCCTTGTCAGAAATCTGTGCCAGTTTTTGCGTTCAATGAAAAAGAAACATGGCTGACGTGGCAAAGAACATGTGAAGAATTAAATTTCTTCCTCACTGCTCTGTGTAGAGATGCATGGTGATTTATTTTGGTCTATATCCTTGTCAGAAATCTGTAATACATAAATGTTTTTTACAAATTAGTAAATAAAGGCTACATGTTTGTAATATCTTAACCTTACATCTGTCATATAATTTCCTTTACTTTTTCCCTGTTTATTAGGTGAAATTCCGTAAATAAATATCAGAAATGTCTTGATACAGCCAAACTCCAAATTAAATTAATGTGAGTTGGAACATTAAAACCTTCGCGGACAGAGATAAGTAACTGGCTATGTGTTAAAAAGCTAAATACATTTTTCCAGTGAACGCTAACACAGATTACACTACAGTAATAACAACAAGAAATAAGAACTTTTTTTCTACAGTAGCCTACTATTATGTTTCTAAGGATTTTTAGTGTTGTTTCTATATTTTTCTTTTACCCAATTTTCTTGCATGGTACAGAAAAATGAAAAATGTAAACATTATTCTAACAAATATTAGTCACATTACAATTAATATGCAATGGATAACTGACTTGCTTCAGACATGCTGAAGTATTTACTTGACTACTTTTGAACTGTTGAACAAAAACACTCGCCTACTGCCATTATAAAACTTAGAAGAGCAAGGACCATTTTTAATATTACTCTGATTGGATTTGTCTGAAAGAAGAAAGTCATATACACCAAGGATGCCTTGAGGGTGAGTAAAATGGGCTAATTTTCATTTTTGGGTGAACTAACCCTTTAATACATTCGCTTAATGTCCGCCTATGTTCTGTTTTTCACTTTCAAAGGAAAAGGCTGTGAATAATCAGTGGTTAAAATTAATCTTTACTCCGATACCACAGCAGTATAATCACAACCTTTTGCTGTGTTTCCATCATTTTACTGATGACTGCTTCTCTAATCTCTGAGATTTTAATGTGGGATTCATAAACTGGTTGTCTTTGAAAGATGGGTCAGTGCCCAGTTTGTTTGGAGCAGCTTAATTGCTCCTCCAAATTACAACCTGTATGTTGTCACAATCTGTGCTGGGAGAAGCACGGAACGAGGAATGAGGAATACAAAAACAGTCTTTAATCCTTGGAGAACAGGGGTACATCTACACTGGAAACGGCAGGAAACACACAAACATAACGAGTAGACCCGACAGAGACAGACTGCACAGACTAGGACTTAACTACACAGGGAAATGAGGATAATTAACTAAACTCAGCCGGAAACAAATGATGAACTAATCAGGGAACCTAATGGAAACAGGAAGGACCAAATAAGGAAACACAGGAACAGAAACGGGCAAAACACGACACATAACAGGCCAGAATCCTGACATATGAATGATTAATAATTGTTGCTGTAATGTTTTGTCAAGCGTGCAAAATAGGTAGTTTTGTGTTGTGTATACACTTTAGGTCTGTGGCTAACTCACGTTATAGTTCTGTTAATCAGCTTTTGTCTAGAAATGTGTTGATTAATATAGAATGTCTGTTGTTCTTACTACTTGGAGTCATGATAAAGGATGGAGCAATAGGCTGCAATGTTTTATCAGTACTCCATCTACCTGACCAATCAGAGCAGAGTAGGCTACAGTAAGAGCGCATGGTTTATCTGTCCATCAGATGCGTGTCAAAGTTGAGTTCGTTACTATAACAACAGTAGATCAAACAATCATTGTAAAAAATAAACTTTGTCGAGATAACGAGAAAATTAAGTCGTTATAACGAGAAAACAACTTTTGTTACAAAGGTAGAGCAAAAGCGCCTTCTAGTGGCCATTGGCTGACGCACAAAAAACGATTATGCACGTGATGAGCAGTCGTGCTCCACCAGAAGACGGTTCCAGAAGTCACGATGCAGTGTTGGTGGTGATTATTAAAAACTGTGTGCGTCCATTGGAGAAAGCCACACAAAGTAAATCAAGAGGGTAACCGCATGCTGCAACTACTATACCGTTTAATGTATGTCTGTGCTGCTGAAGAAAATTCAGTAAACTGTTCAATTTGATTCCTGCCTCCTGTGCTACGTTCTGACCGACGTTCCATAGCCTCCTAAGCGCCTGCGGTCCTTTCTCTTAAACAACTCTCGTTATGTCGAGATCACGAGAAAATTAAGTCGTTATAACGAGAAAACGAGAAGAAAAAAAAAATATTGCATGGCCGCTTAGAACTTCCGTAGCACAGTCTCTCAGCACACATACAGTGCACATACAGAGGAATCATGCTACTTTATAATAGAGCATTATATAACAAGGCCAGCAATACACTAGAGCCTGATGGGAGGGGGATTTAGTATCAAGCTCATCTGAAAGTGAAAGTGACGTGTTGCCAACAAAATTACAGCAATTTATTCAGTTTAGTCCAAAGTAAGAATTATACTTGGATGTTATGGTAAAAAGTAAGTTTTTCCAAAGTAAAAATTTTAAGTTGTATCAAAGTAAAAAATAATGGTTTGGTCTCCATAAAAAGCAATATTTTAACTTTGTTTCAATGTATTTTTTTTATCTTGTGCAGAAGAACTATTTTGATTGATATTAAATTAAAATTTAAAGTTTCAACCAAATCAAAAATACAGTTTGAGAAAAACTAATAAATTTAGCTGTACCAAATTACAGTAATTTTTTTAGGTTGGTCCAAAGTATAATTTTTTTCAGTGTAACCTGGAGTTGATGAATGAATTAATTTCATGTACAGACTGATCAGATTGTGGGTCAGTTTGGAGGACACACATGAAGATGTTAGTTTTTACTCCTCACTGAACCCACACTGCAAAAGAATCATGTAAAATGCTGTAAACCTTGATATTATTATTCATGCCATTAGAATACAATATATAAATTGAACAATAATCTCTTACATTTACATTAAGTTATTTAGCAGACACTTTTATCCAAAGCGACTTACAAATGAGGACAATGCAAGCAATCAGAATCAGCAAAATAGCAATAATATGCAAGTGCCGAGTCTCAGTTATCCTAACACAGTATAGCAGAGTTTTATTTTATTATATAGTAAATAAAAAGAAGGCCTTTTTTAAAGAAAACAAGCAGTTAGAAAACAAATAGAGTGCAAGTCTTAAATTGTCAAGTGTTTTTTTATAATAAAATGAAAACTAATAGGGCCTAGATAAAATATAGAATTAGAATAGAGAGTGCTAGAGTTAGAGGGTCAATTAAACATTGTTTTCTAATTTCATTTAACATTTTCATTTCATTGACTATTTTATTGAACACGAACCTTTATACTTTCATCAAAAAGGCTTAATTTTGGCATTGTAGCTCATTCTGTAAATGTAAG